AATTCTCTTTACGAGGATCTGCTCACATGCCTGTTGCAAAGTGAAATTCTCACCTGCAAAGGCTTTTTTTGCATGTCTAAATGCATATGAACTACTTTGTGTGCTTGAACAGGAATGCCCTCAATGAGTAGGGTAAATGTGCACCAGCCTTTGCCGGACTCTGCCTTGTTGACAAGGATAAACACAAGGAGACATACAGAAATTTCCAATTTTGTTACACAGGGAAGCTTCAAAGCTTGAAAAAGTTAATGAAAACCTTCTAGTAGTTTTGTAACAGGCTCTTTTTGAGGTGAAAATGCACCATATTAATTATTTTCAGCAGAAATGGGTTTTTGGTGCCATCCAATCACAGCTATGACACCAGCAGCCCTTCCACAGGAGAGTGACAGCTGAGTCACTAGTGCTAAAACAGGGATAAGAAAAGGAAAATGAAAAAGAAACTAGGCTACTTCCCCTGAGGAGCTAAATACAGTATTTAATGGCATATTTCTATAAGGTTAACAAATCAAATGCTTCAGCTGTGAATTGTTGCCATCATTGTGACTACAACAGGATGACCCCGAACACCCTATCTCCATCTAGGTTTTTTCCTCCTGTGATACATAAATAAGGAAGAAGAGGCTGGGAGCAGCCTGGCCTTTCACCATACTCTGGTCTTTGGGGAGACAGGTTGTGATAGCCACACAGGACAAACAGCTATGCTGTCAACACGGGGGGAAGGCGCAGGAGGGAGCAGCTGAGTACTGGTCTTTTCCTGCATCTGCAGCAGCTGCCGTTTTCATCAGCTGCTGCCCCGTGGCACTCTGCCTGCACGAGCTGGAGCAGGCAGCACTTGGGGTCCTCTTGTTTAACTCACACGGAAGAGCTGTGTCCCCTCCCCACCCCACTACCCTTAAATGAGTGTGTCAAAAGCAATTAAAGTCAGGAATGCAAGAAACCTTAAGGCTCTGTGTACAGAGGAGCATCTTTTTACCAACACCACGGAAGTGTTGGGCACTTTGGACTCCATGCTGCAAGCTGCATTTTAGTAAGTTGCATTTTAGTGAAGTAGCTAAGAAATATATGCATACTCTAGAAAATATCTGTTCAGCAGAAAAGTAAGGACTGAAGCTAATTCTACACAAAATCAACTGACAAGGCCTTCTGTGTTAGGAGACCCTATATACAGTCATAAGGTTTTAGAACACAACAGGATGAAATTTTTGCTTGCTTACACAAGGTCATGTTTGCCAGCAATAGCCCTGGATCAGGGCTGCACCAGCAGAGCTGCTTTTGCACCTTCGGGCCCCAACAAATGGTTCCCACTGCAAGAGCCAACAATGTAATCACAAATGCAACATGATCATGGGGTGGTTCAGAACGCTGCCTCCTGATCTGATAGCCAAACACAGGAGTGCACAAGATACTGGCACGCAAGGAACTGGGCCACCTGGGCAGATAATTCCTGGAAAGATCATGTGCTAACCTTCCTTCTTGAGGGCAATGCCAGAGAGTGCACATTGGACACTGGTGGCACTGCATTTATATATTCTTTTTAGGGAGGCACTTTCTCTGAGTCCTAGAGTTTAGCCAAACCTAGCCACGCTTGCCAAACACACAAAATTTCTATTTAATTAATCCCATGCATGTCTTCAGCAGACTCCCTGTTGAGCTGGCTCAAAGCACCCCCTCCAGGCCTTATCACAAACTCTGTGTTTTTATGACTACTTTAAGCATAATTCGAGCATGATGCCAAATAGCAAATAAGTCGCTGTTCGTGCAGAATGTCTGGCTGACCTCTGCAGGACTCTTCACATGAGAAAAAGTTTGCAGGATTAGGACCAAAGCCTGGAAGCAGGGTCATCTCTTCCCTCTGCCCACACCCCCTCTCCCTTGGCTCCAGTATCCAGTACATGCTGTCCTCTTCATTACTTCAACACAGTCCTTAAGGCCTTAGACCTCAATGAAGAAAACGAGCAAGCTCTGCGATTCAGGATATTTAAAAGTGGAAAAAAAGGGCAACTGTTAGGCAGAATCTGCTAGGAGGAGGAGAAGGAATAGGCAGAGTGCCAAGAGACAAGAGTCCACAGTCTTCAAATTTCAAAGGTTTTCAGGATAGATGACCTCAAGATACTTTCACAAGCTAGTCTGAACAAGTCACAGTTTGGTAGTCTGTTGGTTTTTTCCTCCTCTTCTTTTTTCCACCTGGATAACTTTGGATTTTTTCACTTGGTGAAAGACAAAATAACTTTAATAACTTCAAATAACTTTACTCCCCCGTGGCGCTTACATGTCAGTTAGCTCTGGATTGCTGCTATATACAGAGACAGTGTACATGCTTGGGAAAGAGTCCCTGGGAATTGTGACACCATAAAATGCCTCGCTGCTTCAACCCTACCCCATCATTCTGGTACACCAGTCAGTGAACACAGAGTGCTTTCTTCTGCCGTGCCCCTCTCTGTCCCCCACTCCATCCACGGAATTAGGACATTGCTGCAACTCAGCACAATGCTATTTGCAGCCATGCATATTTGAAATAAAACATGAAGTCCAGGATTGTACCTCAGGCTGCCTGAGATTCAGCCCCCTTCTGCTGCCCAAAACCACAAAGACAGTGCTTGCATGTTTAGATAACTATAGCAAAATGAAGACTAAAACTGTAAGCAATCCCTTTTAAATGCAGACAGGGCAGGGAGTGAATGCCAAGACGCACTGGCACTAACCAGATGGAGCCTTATGAACATTTGACTTGTTTTACTTCCAGGTTTCCACCCAGAGTCCCAGGTGCATGGAAGTCATCTGAGGACACAGTTCGGTTTGTTATCAAAGAACTCCTGGACCCTCATGTGTCAAATGACAATGAGCTGTGCTCTTCTGGTGAGGTATTTTTAACTTCAGGAAATACCTAGAAAAAAGCTGGGGGGTGAGTCCCATAAGCCAAGATTCAGGGAAACTACTGATAAAAAGAAGAAAAACGTCTGGGAAATGTCATGGTGTCATGTCATTGTCCTTTTAGATGGATTTTTGGACATTGCCACACATGCTTCAGCAAGGTTTCCACCTCACAGCCCAAGCACTGCAATACAGGCACTGAACGGGTTAAATCACATCAGTCCTCCAGATTTGCAGTGGTTGATAGAAACGGTCTTCTTCAGGAACACGAAAAATCCCAAGCATCCTGCAGGACACGATCCACGCTTCTCCATGACTGTCCCAATGCATAAGGGTAAAATGAAAAGCCTGGAACAGACGTCAGCAGCTCCCAGAGGTCTGACAAGCACTGGAAAGGAGAGCTTTCCAGCACCAAGAAAAGGCTGGGAGTATCACCTTCCCCTGGGTACATAGCAACAGTTGCTAGTTTTGGCAGGCAGCGAGATGCAGTGCAAGACGTGAGGGTGACATCATTTGATTATCACCTCGCTTCCCTCAGATTCAATTGGATTCCAATAAGAAATTATTTTTAGAATCGCTACAGACAAAAGCCTTGAAAACTAATTTATTACAGATTTGGGTAGAGGAGGCTGGGGACTATATTAATAGCAGACAAAGCCTTAAAAAGGCCCAAGTATTTGGAACCCAAAACCACAGCAGGAATAGCGTGTACATATTAACACCAAAGGTAATTAACCTTCTCAAAAACACACTTGAAGATGGGGTGGATTCTCCATTGCCTTAAGCTTTTGCATTTAAGGCTGGATATTCTTCCAAAAAGTGGGATGAAGCTGAAACTGAATTTGGGATTTTTAATTGAAAGATCTGATGGGAGCTCTGATACTTTTACTCTGAAGTCCTGCCCTTAAAAATACCTAGAAGCCTGCTTGTTGCCTGTGCTTGGGAAGTTAAGTCCTAGTTTGCTGATACAGGCATTTGTAGTTTCAAAGGAAGTTAAGAATTACTAGAAGATATAATGACATATGAAGTTAACTCTCCAGAGAAAGCAGTACAGGGGAAAAAAAAAATAAGAGCTCTCCAAAATGTTAAACCTGAGGTTCATTGCTTTTGCCCTGGACACAAGAAATGAGTAACATCATTTCTTGTTACTCATGACACTGAGAGCTTGGAAGTAATTGATCTTGCCTCCAATTTCAAGTTAGCCAAGGTGTCTGTTTAGGAGAAGAGGCTCGCATGACAGGCTGGAGCTTCTGAAGGAGACCTTTCCCTGAAGTGGTAGCAGCTCTCTGGAAATAAATAACTACAGGGATTCCCAGGCAGTTGTGGAATTGTCAGCAGCAGTCCACTGCTTGGTGGTGCACATCACTTCTTTATGTTTATGCAACTACAGGTATTAGTATTTACAGCAAGAGGCTTCTTTTTACATCCCTTACTTTGAATATTTGATATCCTATATGAATTTTAATGGACTGTTGTACTGTCTTCTGTTTTTTAGCTTGTCGTTTAGTATGCTTGTACAGTGACAGACTAACAAACTACTGAGTGATGTGAGGAACCACGTGGTATGCCACAACTTGTTTTGTAAATTAACATGGCAGAGCTTTCTCTACTTTTATAGCAAGGAAACAGTCTCTGCTCTGCTTGCCCCAAACAGTGAGAAAAAGTCTTTTGAGCAAGAAGGAAGGAAAACTAAAAAGCAGAACAGAAGTGAAACTGCACTGTCAGGTTTTCACTCTGTTAGATCCCTTGCAATCAAACCCAAGAAGGCTACCCAGTGAAGGGAGGGCCCTGGGCTATCACATCATCCCCACCACAAAACTTCTGACTGACGTAAGCAATTGACTTGTCTGCTAATTTGATTTCTACAACTCACTGCATCAGGACGTGACTGATAAGAGCTGACTAGGAATTCCCACAGATAGGGACTTTGCAGAGCCTTGCACGCCGTACAGTGCGGCCGACTCCACCCATTTCTTTCTGCACATGCCAGTGTCACCCACAAATCTGAGGCAGACACACACGACTCTATCAGCAGGACCATATGTGTGTGCAGAGATAGCAAAAGCCAGAGTCTGCCATAATTTAGCCAAATAAACAACTTCACATACAAGAAATGACATGTGGCAGAAGAGATCCAGGAAAGGACATGGTTTAAGCCTCCTAAATTCAGAGGCTTTTTGCTTCAAGTAAGAGAGCAGAGGCAACAGGCAACCCAATAGCCAGATTTCTCTGCAACACCAATTTCTATCAGGAAGAAGTCAAGAAAGACAAACCATACCCAAAGGAGAGAATACAGACTTATTCAAAACTGATGCATCTAAATTGAGGATTTTTTGTGTGTATGAAAGGCATTGGATAACTATTTGGGTAAGAATGGGGAAATGGATAGGAAAATCAGACCAGTAACAGGAGTAATGTGAAAATATTTGGTGGGGTAAAGTGGGCAATAAATTATGAACCATCTGGCCCATAGAGATTTATGGGAGACTGTCTGCCAGTGAGCTCAAGCAACTCCTTCTTCTGGAGTGCGATAGGAGAGGAAGCACAAGAGCAAAGACTGAGACTCTTGTCCACTGGAAAAGTAGATTTTTAAAAACCCTCAGAGAATGCAGGAGCGACTTCAAAGCACACTGCAAAAGCTCAGGCCTCCTGAAGCTACAAGCCTTAAGCTGAAGGTACATGTCACCATGACTGCCCCAAACACAAGATGCAACACTGCTGCTGGAGGGCTGGGAGGTGCCTGACCTTATCTGTCCAAGTATCATTGCACCCTCCTTTTCAAGGGCCTGCAAGGATTTACTGCTTCCCCTGGGGTATGCAGGGGTCATAGAATCAGAGAATCCTTAAGGCTGAAAAAGACCTAAGATCATCAAGTCCAACAACTAACCTAAATCCAGCATGTTCAGCTCTAAACCATGTCCCTAAGTGCCACATCCACACATTTTTTAAACGCTTCCAGGGGTGGTGATTCCACCACTTTGCTGGGCAGCCTGACCAACCTTTAACTGAACAAAAAGGGTCAGTGTGCAACAGAGCACGAAGCTGCAACAGACACTCTCCAGTGAGGCTCCATCCTTTCTGCCTGTGCAAAAGTGCCCACTGAGGCTCTGCGACCACAGCTCTGAGGAGCAGCACTCAGAGACCTTGAGTTCTGTTGGCTGCTCATGACAGTGACCCCATGACCCATGAAACAGCTTTCTCAAATCAAGATATGATTTACTACTAACAGAAGGTAGTAGGCAGTGTAATGCTTTCTAAAACTGATTCAAAAGAGGGTATTTGTCTCTCCTAGCTTGGTCCCATGCCAATACATGTTCTAGGAGCTGCTGAGAAGCTGAGATTCCTGCAAACTTACAAGCAAGGTGTCTGATCCTGGTGAGTGGCTCTCGAACAACTGCCTATTTTCTGCCTGAAGAGTTTTTTTTTTTTTTTTTTTAACTCTTGGCAGTTCCTTTGATCTGCTCCTCCTTAACACTGGCAAAAAATCCCTGAAGCTGAGGAGGTAGCATTTTCCCAGTTAATAGCTTCAGCATTGTATCTTAATCCCTCCTGAGGCACCTTCCCGAAGTTATTTTACCAGCAGCTGCTGTCTTGCCTGTCTGGTTGTTCTTAAAACTACTTTGATACCAAACCAACAATACACACATCCCTGAAGCAACCATCCCAGTACTGGGGCATACACTCTCTCCATCCTCAGCTGGAGATGCATGCCATGCTGGGGATAGAGGGCAAGGAAAAGAGGGACAATCCCCACAGCACACCTTTAGGCATCCTGGATGTCCAAGCTGGGAGCTGAGACTAGTGAGGCATCCTGGCACTTGAGGTTTCTTTCAGAGGCCCCAAGATCAGATGTGCCCTGCTGCTCATGTGAGGCACAGAGACATCTGAAGCTGGACCATAGTGATTTTCTCCTCTCTTCTCAAAAAATACCTGAAGATATTTTTTTCTTTGAGTTTCTCCCTTTTCATTGCTGGGATTATAACAGCTGTGCAAGTTGTTCTCATCCTTGCATACCCAAAGAAATAAACCAAATCATAATAATAGCATATGGAAAAGCAGAAATTTATCTCAAGACCATGGTGTTTTTATTAAGGTGAACGGAGGCAAACACTTATACCGCAATTGACAGGGAAGGCAGGCAGGCAGAAAGGTATGGGAAAAGGAATTAGTAATAGAAACAATCTGATAATTCATCTTTACCAAAAAAAGGTGCTACAGACTCTCTTCTTGCCCTTCTCAAATAAATTACTTGTAACAAACAATAAAAGTTTTTCTAACAATAAAACAGACAAAGCACTTAATATCTGTAATTTCAGCCTCAGAGAATAAACTATTTAATCCTTCATTTTTAAAATTTCTTTTACTTCTAAAAAAGATCACTAGCTCCTCACTCTGGTGCTTCCACAGCAATTTAGCAGGCATCAAATGACGAGATAAGAAACTGATAAATCTCAGTCCAAAGGAGAAATCTGCCTACCCTGACTCAGAGGAGAAACCTTCCTATTCGACTCCTTCTTGAGAAAAGCTGGCATAAATAAATACAGTGCTTTCCTACCTTCCTCATTTAGGAAAAAAACACCATCACCACCATGTGATACAGCCTCAAGACCACAGCTTTCTAGAAAGAAAGGTCAAATGAAACAGTTCTTCCTAAAGAGCTTTCCTGACTGCAGAACCAGGATCACACCAAGCAATGAGCAGCAGGACAAGTGCCTTAAATCACACATCACAGGTCCTTCTCCATCCTCCGTGATGCCAGCATCATGGAGGACAGCAAAGGAGTCGGGAGGTGGGGAGGAAATACATGGCTGCTGTCACAGTTTTTACATTGACCATACTTTCGCCTGACAGGTCCTGGAAAAGGCAAGGCCAGCTGGCCACCAACAACCACCAGGCATTGGACCAAGCCAACAGAAGCCCTCAATCTCCATTCCACTGAAGTGGAGGCATGACCAGGTAGAAGAGAAGGCAGGAAGCAGTAATCAACTGGAAAACTACCACGAACAAAAACCCAAGCACTACCACAAAAACATGAAAACCCAGGGAAAAAAAATCCTAACAAAATACTGTAATAGGTTACCTTTATGTGAATGACTCTTCATGCTCGCCTAGACTGAGTCACTCTGGGAACTGCCTCGCGGTCCATCTGGCTGCCAACTCCTGGCTAAACTTGAACATCCTGTGACTGAAATGAATGCATCAAAGGCTAAGGCACCGCAAGGTAACAAGGTTTTCTTTGTCCAGCACTTCCAGATGCACCAGCATTCCCCTTCTGCTAACTCTCACATATCCTCTGGGTCTGTGTTTGGTACATTTCTGACTTTCAGCAGCTGTAAAGAAAGGGTAGACTTGAACTTTTCCTCTCACTCTAATTTCATGGACCTCCTCAATCCATCTCTGGCCATGTATCAGTGACAGTATAGTTCTGGATGTAAAACTGTTTACAATTTTTCATTGCTCTGGACATAAAATTTGGCTACCACCTATGTAAACAACTTTCAAATACTGGAGGATGTAGTTGCTGCAGACAAATGTAGGCATAGAAACCACTCTGACATGATCTTACAGAAAGTGAGACTGCACTGCTGGATACTGCACTTCCACAGACTTTCAACCCACTTAGTTGCAGTGGAAGGGGGAAGGAAATAAAATATATTAAAAAAGTATTCTTTACATTCCCAGCTTTCCTCTCCAAATCAGGAACACACTCCTATCTCTTAGGTGGCAATATAAACTTAAATAATCTTTCCTGCCCTCACTAAAACTATTTTTAAACCAGTAGTCAGGTACAAAACAAATGTCCCATCTAATGCAATGGGTATTACTCAGTGATGATAAACACTATACACCCACCTAGACTTTTCACTTGATGTGGTTGGAAACTGCTATGTAAGGTGGAAAAAGTAAGGCAGGCTGCTTTATTTTTGGCATTTACTTTAGAGTTTAGGCTTACTGCAAGAGTACATTTACACTGGCTCGGTGTGCTGCTTCTAGCCAACTGTGTAATGATATTTAGTGGCTATTTTTTTGTCATGAAGAAAGACACCCCCCCCCCCCCCCCCCCCCCCCCCCCCCCTTGTGTCTCCTACTTCACCACACTGCCAGGCTGCAAGAAAGGAGCGTGCAGGGAGGGGACCTTCTCCTTCTCATCTGACAGAGCAGAGCTCAGCAAGGTAAAGCTCTGTCTAGCCAACAAAGCTCTTTACCACGAATATCCTTATTAAACACAGCCTTATCAGAGACCAGTTTCTGCAGTCTGAAGCAGTCAGGAATTAACTCTGTCAATATAAAATTTCAAGCCAGGATTAGAGCCCAGACCCAAGGGGATGTGAGCAAGCGTTCAAGCCACAACAGAGTCACCTGACCACGTTCACACCATGGCAGGGGGCTGCCCAAGGGGCCAGGGCTCAGACTGTGCACCCACCACCCTGGTGCTACCCCAGCCCCCCGAAGGGCTCGCTCCCAGGCTGCTGCAGCAGGGGAAGGGGGATGCTGAAATTTGTCTGTCTAGCAGGATGGAAGGGAAAGGCTCTGCCAGTGCTTCCAAAAGAAGACAGGCTGAAGGAAGACCCTGGTACAGCAGCATCACCTGTGTGCAGAGGGCATGAAAAGCCAGCCTGGAAGGGGCAGACTGCACTCCACAAGTGTAGCTCAGGACTGCTGGCATGGAAGGTTCACCAGCACCTCCCAAAAGGTTGCCACCATCCAGCAAAGTGCATGGCCAAGATACAGATTCATTCAATATGCTCCTTTGTCAGCCTCTAATCCCCACCCACAGGATCAGGCTGTGTCTCCTGCCTTATCCACAAGATGAAGCTGTCTATCCCCGACACAGCCCTCAGGGCTGTGGCACCAGTGCTGCCTCTGCCTTTGCTCCAGGGCGAGCCTCCTCCACTGGCACGGCATGGCACGGCACGGCTGCCTGCCTGGCCTGCAGAAGGTGTGAGCTTTGCCCACAACTCCATGAGTCAAGGCCTCAATGGTGACCTTGCTTCTCCTGCTACATATTGAAAGCTGCCAATGCTATTGATGGGGACTCCGTGAAACATGTTTGTAATACCGAGCTAATAAGGCAGCAGTGAGCCTATAGTGCCCTGTCATTAGCAATCCCAGTGAAAAAGCCTTCATGCTGCCTTTCCCTATAAAATATCTATCCACCTCCCAGTAAAGCAGAAGTACATTTCAGTGCGTGCCTAAACGACAGTAATTTTTAAACTCTTTCCCTGAGCTTATTTTACAGCAGCTACTAAACGGTTAAGCTCATTACTGAGTCCAAATATGAACGCAGGGAAAATACTTCCATTGCTTTTGGCACAAAGTAAGTGCAAAAGTTGCCTTTCTGCTTGACTAAAAGCCTGAAAAGCAAACAATGCACACAGCATACATTGTTCAGGAAGGGAGTGCAAACAAGCCTAAAAGCAGATTAACTTTGAAGGTGCTGTGCGGGAGCAAAGCAGGCAGCATCTACTGTTCCCAGCCCAGCACCTGAGACAGCGGGTGCAGAATCCAGCACCAACTGGGATCCTGACTATTAATCTCCTTGTCAACACTGGGAAAACCAAGGTTGCACTTCAGAAAACAAGCAGCTATTAAAAGAAATTAAAATTAAAAAAAGAAAAAAAAAAGAAAAAAAAAAGAAAGAGGTACAGTCCTAAGAGCTTTAACAAGACAAGACCTTCACCCCCAAAGAGCAAGAGCACACACTCCTTATTTTAAGACTTATTCATCCTTTTCTAAACAAAGTGAATAAGCTTTCAGCTGGCCAAAACCTTTGGGGAAATTTTTAGTCACCAGAGGCAGTAGCACATGCCTTGATTCCTACTCAAGTCTGCAGAAATCAGGTGCCCAACCCATCCGCGCCTCTGAAATCCCCTCAGTAACAGCTTAATGCTACAAAAGGGAGAAACAAACGAGTTTTGTCTATAGGCTGCTTCTCAAACAAAGAATACAAATTGCATGTGACATGCTGCTGCACAAGTTTGACTGCATGTGTCTATGTGCAAGTGGAAGGGCTAATGGAGAATATGCCAGCTTCAGAAGGGCATATTGCTGCCAGTCATTTTTAATAAAATAAAGTAAAATAAAGTAAAATAAAATAAAATAAAATAAAATAAAATAAAATAAAATAAAATAAAATAGCATCCCAGAGATTCTGTATGCCCCATTATGCAAGACCACTGATTTGAGCAACTTGCCATTTGGAAGTAGCATGCACCACTGCCTGCGCATGGCCATGGACCCCATGGGCCACACAGCTCAACCATCAGAACTGGACTTGCCAGGCACAGAGCACCAACAAGACTTCAGCCTACTGTCCTAAGAGCTAACCCCAGTCAAGCCCAAATCTTCCTCATTTTCTTTGAAGGCATTTACCTCCATGTCACAATGCATCTGTTTAGAGCAGCACAGCAACTCCATGGCTACAGCTGTGCAACAACAGACCTGCTGCCCAGGCCTGCCCCTGGACTGTCCCCCTGGATTTTCTGGAGATGATTAGGTGGTTGCATGAGTGTATTGTTTTCCACCTGTAGCAGCTCCTTTGTCTAGGGAGCTGCCTACCTGCACACAGCTTCACCACCAAGATGAGACTGCAGGCTCATGTTGGGTGGCACTGCTCCAAACAGGGTTCCTAGAGTCCACTCTCTTTTTTATTCTTCTTCACTCCTCTCTGTGCTCTGCATCGTGCCTCAGTGAGCATGAGACCACCTTGGGAATTCACAGCCACAGCTTCGGATGAAATCAACGAAGCACTGCAAATTCAAGTATTTTTTTTAAAAGTTTTGGTTCATCTTTCAAAAGCAGAGAAAGAGCACAATTCAAAATTTAGATCTAATTTACCTATGTAGGATGCCAGGACTCAGGTGGGGAGCCAAGTCAGGCACCTATGAATTCGAGTTCTCACCTGGACCTGCTAGCTTCCAAAAGGTTCTTCTGCTTGTCACTTCACAGCACAGCAATTTAACTATCACCTCCCCCACCTTTTATCTTCTGCAAATCTCCCTGGATGATAAACAGTGAAGTTTGTAAACACACTGGCATTTTGATGTGGATTTTCAGTTCAAAACTATTCAAAGTGACGCGCACTTGGCAGTACTGGAGAAATCATATGCAGAAGGTTCCATCCTCACACTGAGCATCTGGGGAGAAACATCCAGCAAGGCGTTGGGTGTGCTAATGTGAAATCAGTTTGTAAGGGCCAGCACCTCCCTCAGTTGTTAGCATTTAAAAGAGGCCACGGCTTTCAGAGGGACCCAAGACAGACTCACAGAATTTCAATTAGTTCTTCTAAATCAAGGCCCTTCTAAAATCAAACCCAGTGCTTACACCTATAATCATACCTAGGTTTTGAAATACCTGTCTCCTTTTGTATGTGTGCAAGTCTTTATTGGGGAAAATCTTTTATGTGGATGGTTAACTACAATACTTAAGTATTTATTGAAGTAAACACAACTTAAGCTCATTTAGATTTAAGTAGGTGCTTGCCTGCTTTCTTTTCTGAAGGCAGATGAACTTAATTACATGTGTACCTATTCTTCTATAAATAAGGGCCTTTCGGACATCTAGCATTACTTTTTGCTATTTTTTTTTTTTAATCAAGATGTTCACGCCACACTACAGAGTTTATAAACACAGTTATATTTATATCCTTATAATATTCTCAGATTGGAATATGTGAGTACAGAATATACTTACTTAGAATACATTAATTTTCATCTGAAGAAAACCATTTACACATACCCAGTTTCACTACAAATTCAGGCAGTATACGATTAGCACTAATTGTTGGATGTGCTGTTTTACTGTGTAATAAACTGATCTTCTAAAACCTTGAATTGTAATGTTTAATAATCTTTCCCTAAACAGGGGTCTAAACTTGGCTTCTCCACATGTTTTGTCTTACTATATTTGACTTGTTAATTATCTGCCCAAAAGCAGCACTAAAAGGAAAATAAAATGTAAAGATCCATGTTAAGATAGGCATATTTGGATTCATCTCGTTGGAAATCAGTAATGCTAACTTTCACATTCTAAGTAATGCTTAGATGAAAGACAGGCACTAAGTACTTTCCATTGAAGTGTGCAGAAGTCCTTGACAATACCTTGTATAAGATTTTTTTTTAAAAGGCACAAGCACAGGAGACAATGAATGACCACTCTCCTACACATCTGTCGAATTTCTCAGGAACTTGTACCTTGAACTCGTACAAGCTTGTCCAGAGGACTGCTGGGAGGGCCCAGGACAGGTCAAGGCAGGGACAGTGACTGAGGTCAGCTCACTGGCTGTAACACACTCTGTTAAAATTGCAGCTGCGCCAGAGCGGAGTTTTATGCAGAAAAGGAAGCGGCTCTGCCCTTTTGCACATCTGCGATGCAATGCACTATTAAGCAAAATTAACTGATTATGTAGCAAACATGGCAAAATGAAGCCCTGACTCCTCTGACAGTGCTATCTCCTTTTTTAATGAGGCACAGAACAATCTGTTACCAGGGTTAGTGCTGCAGACAGTGTTTATGGTAATGGGCCCCAGCTCATCTATTTTTTTTTATAGTTCAGTAGGTACTGCAGATGCCAGAGGTACCATACATTAAATGCTGAGCCTACAGGGGCACAATATTTGGCCATGTCACTGGATATTGACAAACTTGTACAAAGGGCCTCCAACAGTTTAATATGTTCCATGACATCTATTCTACTCATCCCAATCTGTTCCTCCAGCTTGCCTCACTAACACTCGATCCAGTGCATTCACACCTGTATGGCTCATCCTCCTCCATTAGCTGGAACTTTCCTTGCCTCACGTACGTTGTGCTGGCCATGCCTAACTTATCAGGCTTTTGTAAGCCAAGGAGCAGCTGAAGAACATTGCTAGGAAACCCTACAGGCAACTGCAGAATCAGCTGAACTGTGCACAAAATAGGTCACTTCTGCATTATCAAATGCA